CACACGTGCCAAGGTTTGAGAGTCGCTGCGATATGCTCCAGAACAAGGGTTGGCCAAGGAAGCATGAGTTCCCTTGCGTGCTATGGCCACGTGAAATTCTCTGCAATATTCGGCCAGTCGAAATTTTCAGGGCCGAGGCGTCGAGATGTTTTTGCAAGGCGTGCATCTTCGAATTCTTGGGCACACCCGTGCAAGAAAGATGATAATCTGGACACAGTCAACGCAAGCACAGCTTCCCGCTTCCTTGGGACACCGCCACGCCATGTCGGAAGCGAAACATACAACACACAACCTGCCTTGAATATGCTATAAAGTAAGATACCGCAGCACACACGGATTCTGCACCCGATTTCGCAATAGATCATTGAAATCTCCAACAGGCCGTGCGCAGCGATCCTGCTCCTCCCTGTATAGAATGCGGACCTGTCGCCGTAAGTCAACACACAATATCTTGTGGCAAGGATGACAGTTGTTGCTTCGATTCAAGACTGCATCCTTCCGAAGCAACAGTAGCTGTTGTCTTTGCACACCGCAACCAACATTAGCACTCTTTGCAAGCTCTGCTGCAAGTTCCACGTGTGGTGCCAAAGAGCAAGGCTCCTGAAGAACCATGTGAAACTTCCAGGAGTCTCGGGGCTATTGTTTCACCGTTGCAGCTACGGTGCTCCTGACGCATCGAGCTCGTCTAGCTCTCAACGACGATGGCACTTCGATTTCAGCATGACATTGACAGCATCAACATGTTCGGTCAAGTCCTGGCTCACACGTCTGCAAAGTCTGCAAGGTCAATTCCTGCGCATTGTGCTGAATGTGGCTACAAGGACAGAAGCCCTACGAATAACACAGCACAGGCACAAACAGGATCGCCACACAAGTGTACAAATTGTTCATCCGCTTACTATGTCTCCGTCCAAACTCCACCAACATTGCAGATACTAAGTCCGGCATGACGAGCCAACCTGGTTATGTCGATTAGCATTAGCCAAGGCTCGTAAAGGTTCAATACCACGGGATGAACCATGATGCTTGCCAGCTCGTAGTCCTTCTGTATACGCGATCTCATGACTTCCGCTAACATGCCGTGGAATAACAACGGCGCTGCCATGCCGACATCCATATGCTCTTGGGGCTTGTTGCTCTTGTTGGCATGTTGAGAATCCCTTGAGTCGTTGACCAGCAACTCGCATGGTAATTGCCTCAACTCCTTGAGCCATCGTCCAACCAAGAAGAAAGACTTCTCAAAACCAGGGAACCGTACAAGCAGGCCCTGTATCTTGCAAAACAAAACCAACCGCAATATTCAGAATCCGCTCGAGGCAGCAAAAATCACTCGTTCCATTGGCTGATCACGGCTGCCGATCCGATGCCAGCCCTCTATATGCAGAATCCTCAACAATCCGTCATGTACACCGCAAAGGCCACGGCTCAACATCCAGTGACCTCAATGCCTCCAAGTACAGCGGCGCCGCCAAAAGCTAAAGGCACAGGAGCAAACCTTTACAAGAAGGGCACGAGCTTGGACAAGGTCTGCATCGAGATCACTCCACATGAGGCAGGTGATACCCTTTTTGTCAGCGAGCAGTCGTTATTGCAAGTTTGCGTTGTCTTTGAATCGCCCTGGCTGCGTGGCTCATGAGTCAGTGGAGCCATTGGAAACTTTCATCAGTTTTACACGTGTAACCGGCTGCACAGTAACCATGGCTGCACACGTGAAGCCGTTCTTGGCATCATTGTTGCTTTCTGCTGGCTGGTCGCATTTGCGCATCTCCCAGGAAGTGCCTCCCAGTGTTTGGTGTTACGGTCGAAGGGGTTTCTGCCTACCCTGTGTTCGGTGTTGATGTCGCCGGGTCTTCTGCCCGGTAGCAAAGCAGTCAAATATTTCAATTGTCGTGAGTATATGTCCGTGGAGCAGCGGTGCGTTGTGAACAGGGACCTGCGCAGCATTGGATGTGCACACATGAAACATGTGCCCATTCAGAACAGCGACGCGTGTGGAGCATTGCTTTGGGCGGCAATGAGCGGGGACTTGCGCAGCATGGAGGTGCCAAGATGCATCCAGCGCAATATCAACGTATCCGCGAGCTGTACAATAATAGCTTAACCTTTCCCCTCCAATCAATCGATATATTTTCGGATTTGCCCCCCAACTACACAACAACAAAAAAAAAAACAACACTCCCGCAACTCATGCCTGGAGCTTCGGAATGCCACAACCCGATATTCCGTTCCCAATGGCTCAGCTTCTCGAAGCTAGCAATGAAAAAACTTTGGCAGAGTGTTAAGTATTTGAGAAATTCAAGTCTTGGTGCTTCCTCCAGCAGCTAACATATGGGATACTTATAGGTATCCTGTTGTTTTTGGAAGCCCCTGCAAGGCCGTTTCAACCTTGAGTGCCACGGAGACTTGTTCGAACTCTGGCAATGAGTCGTTGAAATTTTTGCTCATGTCGCGCCCATGCTGCACGGGATCTACGGAGCTCCCCCGAAGATGAACGGAAAATTCACCAATCCGCGGCGACCTTCGCCTTCTCAACTTTGGGCACGTTCGCATGTCCATAAGGGCAATGCCTACAGCCGAAGCCACAGCATGGCCTTTTCCTGAGGTAGGTTGAGGTGAAGACAGCATACCCGCTGGCAGGATCCTCGTATTGATATCTTCCTTGGCACGTGGCCATTCGATGCAGCATGGACCACGTTGCTTGCGAGCGCTTCTCCGTGGACAGGCGCTCTAGAGCTGCCAGAGCCTGAGTAGCTCGTGCATCGCCGGCATCTGAAATACGCCTCACGTCCTCCAGAGACAGTGGCTTCTCATCGTCCCAAGCGGGTATGCCTGTGTCACCAAGACCCACGGAGGGAGAAGAGGCTGTGGCCGAGCTTCCGACCGTGCCCATCACCGATGCCCACAGCTCCCTGTAGGGCAGCAGCCACCCACAAACTCTCCTGTCCAGGTCATCTGTGCCCCCTGTGCCTTCCAGGTTCGACCAGACGAGCACTCCACTGTCTAGCACCACTAAGCCGTGCCCGCACACGGGCTGGCCGATCTCTGGCAAGACCAGCCACTCGCGAGTGCGAAGAAGGAAAATGCCCGAATCGGCTAGAGTGCTGTCTCCTGCATGACCGCCAGTGATCAGCAACGCATCTCCAACAGCAGCAGCCGCGTGACCGAGACGAGGACTCACGACAGGGTTCTCGTCACAGAGCTTCTCCCAAACCCAACACTGAATGGCCTTGCGCCAAGACAGAAGCCACAGATCTCCCAACTCTCCGCATACCCCGCAGCCCCCATGAACAAGCATCCCCTCCGCACCCCATGCGCAAGCCGCGTGATGTGCTCGCGGACAGGGCCCAGGACGACACTGCACTTGCTCCCAGCACCAAGTGACAAGGTCCAGAACGTGAACGTCCGCGAAGAATGCTTCGCCGTCTGACCCTCCAAAAAGGACTGCACGGGACCCTTTCTCATCAATGACCAAACTGGCGTCTTTGCGGGGTGCTGGCTCCGGGCCAGTGGTGCTCCCGTGGGTCCAGCAAAAGGTCTCCAGATGCAAGAGTTCGAGCTTCGCAAGCACCTGCCCACTTCGCGTGTGGCCGCCAAACACAAAGAGGATGTGGCCCCATCGTGCTGCAGCGTGACCCGCTCGCGGTGTTGGCCCAGTCTCGCCGCTCACTTTGGAACAAACCTGCTGCTGCCAGGCCACCCGAACACCCGACGCGAGCTTCAGGAGCTTGCCGCGCCATGCGTCGGAGTAGCGCGGCCCTGAGAGCTGCAGGAGCACGATCTCGTCAAGCATCCCAGTCGCCGTGTGCGCTCCAGAAGTTGGCCGATCCTGGTTGCCATCTACTCCACGCCACGTTGCCGTGCCAGCGCCGGGAGCCTCATGAGCGGAAGGGGCGAGGTCGCCCAGGTCGCCCAAGACGCCCAGGTCGCCCAGGTCGCCCACCGCCAGCCAGTCCACAGCATCGCCGTCGTGGCTTCTGTGCAGCTGCAGGGCATCGCGAGCGTAGGGAGCCGGCAAAGAGCCAGGGTGTATCAGACTCGCTAATTGCTCGATGCCTTCAACAATCCGCGGCCCGGGGCGCGAGAAAAGCGCATGTCCGACAACATAAAATCTAGCAGGGTTGTGCTGCATTGCAGGCAGCTGCCAAAACCCGGGCTTAGAGACCAAATGTTTCACGACCTCCTCCGCCGCCTCCACAGCGCTTCGGCCGCAGCAAAACACGATGATCACGTCCGCGTTGGAGCTCGCAACATCGTCCCAGGACAATCGCCGGGGCTTTGCACCAGGTCTGTCCCCAAGCGCATCCAATCCCCCTGCACGTTGCCTCATGTCTGGCAGCCACTGCCCAGAGGCAACCAGTGGACAGACGCTCTCCAAGCCCAGCACTCGGGGTAAACCCAGGCCATGGACCACTTGCGCCACATGGTCCAAGCGTCTTTGCAGGTCTTGCCTAACGGACGATGCAGCCGTCTTCTCTCCGATGGTGTGGCCGATGGTGTCGATCGTGGCAAGGATCTCATCCACTGTTGCTGCACCAACAGAGATGGACCTCTGAGCCTCCAGGCCAGCGGCTGACAGCGCGCGACCCAAGGCCGACGTGCCAGCATCGCATGTCAAGCAGGCTTCCTGCGAGAGCACCACGCCAGGGCGGGCAGAGCGCAACCAGTCCACGTCGATGGGATGAAAGTCGGTGACGCCAGCTGCCTGAACCCCTACGTGCTCCCATCCCTTGTCGCCCCTAGCTTAACACAACGAAGTAGACTAAAATGAAGACCACCAGCCCGAATCTAAGCCCTTTGCAAGAATCCACAAAAATACTGCTAACCTAGCCGAGGCTGCGAGCAGCCTCTGCACCTGCTCCTCGACGTCCGCAGAGCTGCGCCCGTCAACCTGGATAAGGCTGCGCGTGGCCTTGCGCAGTTGGAGGACATCTGGGGGAAAGTCACAGTGTGCGCTGACAGCCACTAGGCGCTCAGAAGCATTTGGGATAGAACACAAAGCTTCTGTGCCACTCGGCAGGAGGGACACCACTGTCAAGCGGCGTCGCGCTGCGGCGACCAAGGCTTCTGCCAACCCTGGGGCCGCTTTGAAGTGGACGTGGCAATAGGAAGCCACAGTGGAGTTTTGCAAGATTCCTTCTGGAACAAACTCAGAAAATCCTGGGCGCTCCATGCGAGCTTCATAAGCACAAAGAGGAACCCCCCTCAAGCCCATACTGCGGCCATCGGAATCCACCAGCTCAGCCGGCTCTCCATTCAGAGTCACCTCTGAGAAGTGGTACTGCTGGCATCGGAACTCCACCTGCCTTGAGATTTGCAGCAGCTCAGCAAGCGCATGGCCAGGACGTGAAGTGCAGTAGCCCATCACCATCCGCTGGGTCATTGAAACGTCAAAAGGCAATACACCAGCCATCTGAAATCGCTGTCGTGGCGGTCGCTGCGCGGCACATGGGATGTCCTTGCTGCGCACAGTCATGGTTTGAGCAAGGTACATCAAACCGCCACACTCTGCCCAGCAAAGCCCACCACTTTTGCAGAAGTCACGCACAGACTCGCGGAAGCTGGCGTTGCCTTCCAGTCTTTCTCCGTGCAGTTCTGGATATCCACCTCCGAAGTAGAGAGCCTGCAGGTCCTCTGGCAGCTTCGGGTCTGTCAGCGGAGAGAACTGTACTAGCTCTGCCCCAGCCGCTTCCAGAAGCTGAAGGTTATCCTCGTAGTAGAAGCAGAAGGCCTCGTCTTTGGCGATTCCAATGCGTACCAGCGGGTACTGTCGGCTGGGCTGAAGAGAATTTTCTGGATGCCGCAAAGATGTCTCGGGAAGGCCCTCCTTCGCCACCGATGCCATGCAGAGGAGCGCATCAATGTCCATGTTGTTGGCCACAAGAGCGCCAAGCGCCTCCAAGTGAGCGTCACCTTGCTCCGGCATGCACAAGCCCAAATGTCGCTCTGCAATATGAACATTTGCATCCTTTGGCAAACAACCCAACACGGACAAATGCGACACAGCTGTAGTAGAGCGCATCGCTTCCCGCAGCCACTCTGCATGAGAATCACCCGCCACGCGGTTGAACACCACACCCTTCACAGCAACCTCAGGGTCAAAGATGGTGTAGCCCAAGACCATTGCAGCTGCACTTCGAGAGAGGCACCAGGCATCAATCACCAAAAGAACCGGCGCATGGAGCCACTTAGCCAACTCCGCAGTGCTGCCTGCATCGCTTCGACCATCCAAGCCGTCGTGGAGTCCCATCACCCCTTCCACAACAGCTACATCTGCACAGCTGCGCTTGCATGCCGCTTCAAAGGACTCCTGGCAGCCGTGCCTACCCAACATCCAACCATCCAAGTTGACCGACGGTACACCACAAGCGGCTGCGTGGTGCATCGGATCCAAAAAGTCGGGTCCCACCTTGAATGGCTGCACCCGAAGGCCTCGGCGACGGAGCGCGACCATCAGACCCACGGCCACGGAAGTCTTGCCGACACCACTCTGCACGCCCGCAACAACGAAGCATGGCGGCCTGGCCCATGTGTCCCACGTCGACTCCTTGGACATGGCAACGAGGCAAACGTCGGGTGCTTGACATGGAACGGCTTCAGTCCTAAGCCGTACAATTCTGGCTTGCGCTGCGGCAAGCAACTACCTCACTAAGTTCAGGCTGCAGCAATCGCGTCAGTGTTGGGGTATGCTGCATGTCTTGAGGCAGCGCATTCGTTGAGCAACTTGTGTGGATCTTCCTCAAAGCTTGGAGGCGTAGGCAAATCGGGTACGTCGTCCCAAAGAAGGTCTGCTGCTCGTGGCAGCAATGTGCCCTCGCCCAGCAAACAAGAGCGGCAGAGTCCCAGCATAGACACTTTCATGCCGCAACTTCCACTGCTGAAAGTGCCCAGTCACACCCCGCGGACCCTCAACCTTCGAACCCTACAAACGGCGATCAGGGGGGACACGAAAGAAAACACGAAATCACAACATTCCATTGGCACTCTCTTTGCAGCAACACAACCTTCCGGGCCGCGGAGATCAGAAAAGTTGCTTCAGTACTTTCTTCTTAGCTGAGATCAAACATATCAAGCCCCCCGTACCCCGGCACCTGATGCATGGATTGATCCGTGCGTACCGGGTGGAGGCGTTCAGCAACGAAATCCGCAAAGTACGGGCACACTGGGATTTCGGAACCATTTCCTCCTTCATTTTTAGAGACCAGCGGCCGGTGGTTGGAAAAGAACACAATGGATCCTGCACGGCTCCGTTCATGCGATTTTCCTGCTGGGAAGTCTGTCCTCCATCAGAGCGCGAGCGCGGCTGTCTTCATTGCGGCCGAAAGGGCGAAAGAACACGAATGCACTGAGCCCCAAACACTGAGCGCTCCCACGGACATCACAACAAGGCAAGCGAACCCAAACCTGCTCCCTCCAAAGACTCCAAAGTACAAAAGGGATCCTGTTGGAGGACGACATCGGAATGTGGCATCGGTATGCCAACGGGGCTGCTGTGATGCCGGGCTGTAATGACACACCTGCAGAGCAACAAATATCAAAATATGTCAAAATCAAAGACGTGCATGTTGGATTCTCAAGGCTATCACTGCGAGCTTTGTGCTCCGAAGTGGAGTCGACCGCCAAAAAGGACAAATCAACATCCGAAACTTGACCGAGCTCTGCTCTCGTGCAATGGTCACGTTTCTGCGCCAGCACTAGCATGCAAGCAGTTATTGACAGCTCAAAAGCAAAGCCAAGCGCATCTTTTTCAGCCCGAATGAGCTTTGCAACATGCTCCGAATGAGCAGTGGTTTGTTGTTCAACTAACAGGAACTGATTCTACCTGTGGCACAGTAAGTTTTCTTGACTGTACAGATGCCAGCGCTGTACCGTGGCCCCGCAGGAATTCGCTGTACAGTTGCCCCGCAGGAATTCGATCATAGGCGTTCATCCTCATCAGCACCTGATGCACTTTCTTGCACGTAGTTCTACGTGATTCTCGTGGAGTGGAGGAGGAGAAAAAGAAGGAGGCCACTGTGCAAGGCCATGGGCAGCCACGACAGGGAGGCTGATAGAAACACATGGGAAGGAAAAAGTCGGCAGTCTGAACAGCCTGAGCCCTGGACTCCGGTTCATCTGCATTGGTGGCCGCCTTGTCTTTGGGGGTTTGACAAGGTGCTGGGCCCGATCGTCTGAACATGTCCGAACACACATAGACCCGTAATGAAACACAGCTCTGTGCTTGAGGGCTTCCAAGTGCTAGAACAGAGCGCTGGCAAAGCCCGAAAAACGAAAGACAAAAGACTCATCACAGACACACGGCCCAACGCCGACTGGTCACGCTGGCCAATAATGCTGGAGATGGTAGGGCCAGCGCATCCTTGAAGTGCAGACTGGTTCGATTTCGGCTTCAATTCTGGGGCCGAGTGGTTTGCCGTTGATCTCAAGTCAGGGCGCTTGGCTTGCTTGCTGATTGTCGTTGCAGGTTGAAGGTGTTTTGGGATTGTCGGGTTAGAAAAAGAAAAATTCTCACGGCGCCAATGCATACAGGCAGACTGCAAGGACTGCAAACAGAGCTTTGTCAACCAGCCCACCAAGTCGAAGTCCTCAGAGTCCATCACCAACGGTGGTGGCCGAAATTCCTGAGCACAAGGAGGTTTTCGGCTTTCGACGCTTCAACATCTTCCAAACTCACAGCAACCCACTATCCCCCGACCCCGCTCTTGGGTTGAGCGCCGGGGAAGCACGCTGACCCCCAAAAAGGTCCGCGCGTGGAGTTCCCAGCATTGCCCCCAAAACTTGTTCAGGCCCCTTGCCCCGGCCCGAGAGCACCGAGGGTCTGGCCTCTGGTTTTCAGGGTTCACAGACGTGTGGACTTAAGGGGGGATTTGTTGTTTCGGGTTCAGGGATAAAACCCCTAAACCCTAAAACCCGTAAACCCTAAACCCTAAACCCTAAACCGGGAGTCGAGAGCTTCGGGGCAAAGGGCTGGGCCCCTAATAAACCCTAAACCCTAAACAGCGCCCTCCGTGCACCCCTGCCAGATTGGGATCTCCCATCATCGCGCTCCGGAATTCCTGTCAGGGCGCTCTAAACGCGCTGCAGGGCACAGGGGTACCTTATAGAAACCGTCAAAGCTTCCTTAAAGGGCACGATCTACACATGTATAGAAACAAAAAACATTTAGGAGGGACAGAAGCTGCAAAATTCCCGCTCTGCTACAAGGGGCTTAAGGACTCTTACTTTGGGCCATGCTCTGTATAAGGCTCCTAATCAGGTCCTGTTATGGGGTTCGTAAGGTAGGTACCTAGGGAGCCTTAGGGAGTAGTGGGGAGTGTTGGGGAGTCTTGGGTTACATACCCCCGTTGAACCCCCCCTCCCTGAAGAACACTGTCATCCTGGTTTTGTTGAGCTGAAGACCCGTAAATCTTCAATCCAGTCAGCTACCAAGGGCTTCCGGTAGGAGCTTCAGGGCTAACGTCTTCGACAACCAGGGCACAGCAAAAACACTAAACTTACAAGACTTCTGCCGAATAACTTGCAAGGCAACCCCGCAAACCCCAAAACCTAAACCCTAAATCCAAAAAGAAACGCTTAGGATTCGAATGGCTGCAACGGGCAGATCCTTGAAATCAACCACACCGCCACCATTCCTTAGTGAGCGGTCAAAAGTTCAAACAAGGGTTTCGGGTTTGGGGTTTAGGGATAGGGTTAGGAATGAGGCTGTAGGGTTGAGGGCTGGAATACGCAGGTGTTTTCCGAGGACAGTTTGTATGAGGCCTCAAAAGCTACTGCGGCGTAGGGCGCAGGGTTTAGGTTTATCCACACTCCGCCTCCACCCCTCATCCTCCCCGGCCCTGTTTAGGGTGTGAGTTTTCTCCAGGGTCTTGCTCAAGACTGGGATAGGTGTGTGGGCAATGAAAGGGAAGGCGTCGCCATTACTGGAAGCTGAGAATTCAGGTGTGACTGATGAAGAGATCATGTTCCCTGCATTACAGAGTTGCAGCTTCTTCGATTTGGATGGGTGCATAGGATGTAGCATCGTTGGATGCGTTGTAACTTTCCTTGGCGAGCCTAAACCCTAAAACCTAAACCTAAACCCCAAGTCCTCGGACTTGTCCCAACAAAAACTGCCCCCCCCCCCCCCCAGCCACCCCACAGATCCTTAATGATCTTATCTCCCTTTGAAGACTTTGAGTGTAATTCGAAATGGCTGATTGGCTCTAGACATCAAAGTCGGGACCTTTTTGTGCACGTTTTGTGTGCTTGGAGCCGCCTAAACACCAACTCTAAAGAACCCAATCCACTCAAAAACAAAACCTTCAAATTCTAAACAATAAAACCTCAACCCCGTACACCCTAAAGCCTGAAAGTCCTGAGACCTAAACCCCTAGACTCCCTATTGAACCGTGGTTCTTAGTAGGGAATGGGGCAATGAGGTACCCTACATAATCCCTGAAAGGGTTTTCCCCCGGATAGAAAGTACCTCATTCCCTCTTTCCCTTCTAAGCACCCCAAAACCTAAACCCTAAACCCCAAACCCCAAACCCTAAAACCCCAACCCCAAGCCCCAAACCCCTAAACCCCAAGCCCCAAACCCCTCACTACACCAGCCAGAAAAAGGGCCCAAGCTGCCGGTCCATCTCCTCCAGGATGTTTTTGGCGGCGCGCCCCTCCAGGAGGCGTGCGGCGTCCGGGTGCTGGAGGAGCTTCTCAACCTCCAAGGGTTTAGGGTTTAGGGTTTATAGGGTTTAGTGTTTAGGGTTTGGGGTTTAAGGTTAGGGTTTGGGGTTTAGGGTTTAGGGTTCTCGTTGGTGCGCTATAAACTCTTAGTTAGGGTCGGCACAGGTTCCCTTACTGGGGACCCCTTTGTAAACTCCTCACATGAGGGTTTCCGAGAATAGGGGTACCCAAGAAATGAGGGTTTCCGAGAATAGGGGTACCCTTCTTGGGGGGGCTCCTTTACAAGGATTATAGCATTTTGGGGTATAAAAGGGGTACCACTATTTTCGAAAATCCCCATAAACCCTATACAAGCCAAGGGCCGGGCCGTTCCTTCAGAACCTTTGACGAAGGTAAGGGACCATACTACAAAAATTGTGGCTACCCGTAAAGAAACCCCAAAGCCCAAACCGTGAACTAAGCCCGAAAACTCGAAAATTCTTTTCGAGTTTCTTGTGCTCGTGGAGCTGTTCAGGGCTTTGTAGCTACTTCGGGGTTTGTCGTGTTTCTAAGGACCTGACTCGAGGTTTTGCGATGATTTGCGACGCAACGGTAAATGTGGAGAATACATCCCCGAAGCCAGCCCCTCTCCTCAAACTTCAAACGAAATCGGGGTTCTCATGTTAGAGTACGCTCGGTGCTGAGCCACAAGCCCTACGTATTCCTCATTCCGTAATTGCTCTCCTAGCAAACCCTAAAACGTAAACCCCAAACTCTAAACCCTAAACCCTGAACCCTAAACCCTAGGTAGAGCGGGGAGTGCGCTCTCCGTGATCCCTCGAAGCCCAGCCTCTTCAAGGTCGATTGTGCCGGAGGCGTTCGAGTCGATCGAGGCAAAGGCGGCGCTGATCTCCTGTTTGTTTAGGGTTTAGGGTAGGGTTTAGGCTGTTTAGGAATCAGGGTGTAGGGTTTAGGGATTAGGGTTTAGGGATGAGGGTGTTTCAACGAGTCGGCGCACTGGTGCTGAAAGCACCCAGGCGCGCGCCCCGACCTGCAGAAACCCACTCCACCCTCGCCTGAACCTTTACGGGTTTAGGGTTCTTTTGAACTCTGATCGTGTTTTTGTTATTTCTCTCTTGTTAATGGCTGGGTTTAGAAGTTTGGCGTTGATGTAAATGAAGTACCTTGAAGTTCGTAGCCCCTTGGCGTTGCACATCGTAAGGCTTCTGGGAGGGCCAAACAGTCAGAGGTTTGGAGTTTTTTGGCTGCCACCTTGCCCCTTGGCGATGCTGCATCTTGGGTGGGGGTTTGGAAAACATGCTTGGAAGGGCCTGAAGTCAGAGGGTTGGGATGGAGGGCTGCCGCCGCCTTCGCCCTCGCTGATGCTGCATCTGGAAAGCCTTGTTTGGGAGGCGTGGTGGCTTTGTGATGCCCTCCAAAAGTGTCAAAAAAGCAGACGTTCGGGATTGGGGCTGGCTGCCCGCCTTCGCCCTTGGCGATGCTGCATCCTGCTTGGGGGATCTGGGAAAGGGTCTGAAGTCAGAAGTTTGGAATGGGGGGTTGCTGCCGCCTTCGCCCTCTGATGCGCGTGCTTCTACCGTGATTCATTGGGTCTTGAGAGCCTCCCAGCAGCGCCGACAAAAACCTTTCACAAGAAGGGCTTTTAGAAAGGCCAGGCAGGGTCCCAGGCAGGGGCTTGCCGCTCAAACTTCCAGGCAGGTTTGAACCGCCCTTGCACGAAACACGACCACGGCCGGAGGTGAGGCTCGTCTGGGAGAGGCCTTCAGACACCTCCCAAAAGGAGGCTGCTGCATTCTGCCCGAAGGTTTGGGGTATCTCATTCTAGGGCGACCTGACGGGTTTCTCGCCAGCGACCTGCCGGGTCCACCGCGCAGCCCGCAGCTGCCTGCGGGTCTGGAGCTCCGTCGCCCACCGGAGGGCTTCTGGTTCCGGAGCTACCTCGCCGCTTCGGTGCGTTCGCCCTGCTCGACAGCCCCGGGCTCACTCAGTTTAGGGATGAGGTTGTAGGGTTTAGGGGGCTTGTTTGATGGTCTAGGCCGGTCCAGGAATTTTACCCTAATCCCCCAGGCGCCCTTGAGCTCAGAAGCCCGAGCTACTATAGAGCTAGCATGCATTCACATGACGTAACCCAAGCAGAATGCCAGTGAATGGGAAGATCCACAATGCGTCAGTGGATCGGAAAGTTCCATCAATGGGAGTTAGCAACCTTTTGTCTTCTGATGCATGGCATCGGAGCTCATTGAAAGCACAATGTTCCCGGCAAAGGGAAAATCGAACACCGAGCGTACTCTGCTTGTTTCCAATGGCCAGCCGGCACAAAAGGTTGGAAGACAAGACAGCACGCGCAAAGTGACACGACTGTCAATCTCCTCGCCCACACTGACGATGGCTGCAAGGTCAAAAAAATCGCTTGGCATGCCCATACTGCCTCGCCATGAGAGCCCTTGCGCGCACGTCCACCAGCGGCCTACTTACTTGGAATGGGCGTTTTGGGCAGTTGAAAACTAGAACAACAAAAGAACACTGAGGGGATCATTTCGGTACAAGGCTTCAGCTCACAGCTTCAGCTCCCGAAGCCCTAAACCCTTTATCCCTGAACGTTCAACCCTAAACCCTAAACCCGAAACCCGAAACCCCAAACCCCAAACCCTAAACCCTATAAACCCTAAACCCTAAACCCCAAGCCCTATAAACCCTAAACCCTAAACCCGAAACCCAAGTCTACGTCCCTGCTCCTCCTCTCGCACGCCCCGCTGTGCCATGACCAGCTTGGCGATGAACTCCTGGGCTTTAAGGTCGAAGGCTGAGGGTATAGGGTGTGGGGTTTAGGTTCTAGGGTTTACTGGGTTTCGGTTTCGGGTTTGGGATGTAGGGGTTGGGGTTTAAAGCTTCGGGTTTAGGGTGTGGGGTTTAGGGTTTGGGGTTTAGTTGAGGGGTCCAATGGTTGAGGGCAATGGAGGAAGATCTAAGGGTTGAACGGGGGGCTTAAGGGTTGAGGGCCGAAACAAGGAGGGTTGAAGGGTTGCGTGTCGTGCTACTGGTATTTGCAGATCAATCCAGCTTCAGGGTTTACCGCAAAACCAAAACCGTGAGCCCTACTAACCCCGAACCCGAAATCGCTTAAAGTTTAGGGCCTTAGGGTTGGTTTCTTGAACTTTCGCAACAACAGCGATTCCCATAGCTCGGGGTCTTCAGGATAGCCGCTCGTAGTCTTGCTTGGAGGTTTAGGGTTTGGGGTTTAGGGTTTAGGATGTAGAATTTAGGTTTAGGGTTTACAGTTTAGGGTTAAGGGTATGAACCTCCAAGTACTCATTCATGACGGCATGTGACCATGAGCCCTTGGCCTCTCGAACCCTACGCCCAAAGCCTAAGTCTGAACCCACGGCAGTACCTCTGCATTCACCGTCTACACCCCTGGACCCCAAACCCTTAAGGACCAAAAGGCAGGTAGCTTGCGGACTTTCTGGGGATGCCGAGGCCTCAGGGTTCAGGGTTTAGAGTTGACTTAACCAGGGTTCAAAGTTTAGGTGTTCGGGATCTTCAGCGACCTAAACTCCAAACTTGCCAAAATGGGGAAGCCCAATATGGGGGCTTATGGAAAAAGGGACGCCCATGCCCTCAACCCTCAACCCTACACCCAAGATTAGGATCCCCTTATAATCGGGACCCTCAACAAGGTACCCCCTCAAAGTCTCCGTGTAGCGCACGGAACCCTCGTCACCGAGAGGTCCGGCGAGGAACCTTCAATGCGCAATGGAGGTCTGAAAAGGGAAATCGGGAGTTGTGCGCCACGCATCCCCTCTAACCCGTACACCCTGAACCTGAGCCCTGAAGGGACCGTAATCGCGCGCCTACTTCCCTAAGTCCGATTGAGACCCATAAGCCCCGAATGCCCTATGCCCTAGACCCTAAACCATCCAACTAGACTTTGGGGTAGGTGAAGAGTTAGGCCCGCGACTTGGTACGGTGCTTTGTGTTTTCGACTGCATGGCTTCAGGCTTGGGCTTTCGGGTTTTAAGGTTGGGGGGTAGAGGGTCAGGGTTTTTTGGAGTGTAGGGCTTCCCTGAGCCTACCACACGCTGTGGTCCCACACACAGCTCGGGGTTCGAGATACGAGGGTCAAAGAACGATGAAACTTTCGAGGATGGCGATGAGGACAGGCCGGGAAAACCGAGAAAGTTTCCATTTCGGGAACAATGCATCAGACTGGGCCCTGAGGAGTCAACCTTCTGCTGCTCGGCGCGCACATCCGCAAGAAATTGTTCCATGTCCGCGGATGTCTCAGGCATGCTAGAGTCTCAGGCAACGGGATTCGAATGTCGTCGGGTTGACTTCGCACTCTCAGATTGCCTGTTTCGGATCTGGGGGTCAGGTGTGCTCTTTCACCCTAAACTAAACCGTAAACCCTAAACCCTAAACCCTAAACCCACCCCAGAACCCTAAGCCTGTGTTTCGGGCGCGAAGTGGGGCTGTGGGGCGCTTAGCAGTCTGTGGCATGGCGGCAGCTTCGTGGCCTGGCGGGCCGTTATGCTGCGGCCAGATGTTCTATGCAAGTGCACTACACGTATGCTTGGCTCAACAACTGGTTCTTGGAGTACTATACTTTAATACTTTTTTTGCTTCTGGGTTCCTATTATAGCTACTTATACCTAAAAAGTATATACTTTCTTTCCAGGGTCTACTCCAAAGCATGCAGCGTCGGCATGCCTGTTTTTACGAGCGCCGGCAAGCCAAGTGCTTCGCGACAGCCTCTGCGCAGGATGTAGCTTGAGCAGACGTAGAAGTAGCAGAAGATAGCAGAAGTAGAAGTAAAAGTAAAAGTAAAAGCAGAAGTAGAAATAGAAGTAGAAGTAGAAGTAGAAGTAGCAGAAGTAATAGAAGTAGTAGAAGTAGAAGAAGTAGTAGAAGTAGTAGAAGTAGTAGAAGTAGTAGAAGTAGTAGAAGTAGTAGAAGTAGTAGAAGTAGTAGAAGTAGTAGAAGTAGTAGAAGTAGTAGAAGTAGTAGAAGTAGTAGAAGTAGTAGAAGTAGTAGAAGTAGCAGAAGCAGAAGCAGAAGCAGTAGCAATAGCAGTAGCAGTAGTAGTAGTAGTAGTAGTAGTAGTAGTAGTAGTAGTAGTAGTAGTAGTAGCAGTAGTAGTAGTGGCAGTAGTAGTAGTAGTAGTAGTAATAGCAGTAGTAGTAGTAGTAGTAGTAGTAGTAGTAGTAGTAGTAGTAGTAGTAGTAGTAGTAGTAATAGTAGTACTAGTAGTAGTAGTAGTAGTAGTAGTAGTAGTAGTAGCAGTAGTAGTAGTAGTAGCCACGCGCGCTTCCTTGCGGGGGGGGGGGGGGGGGGGGTACGTCCGGGCCCGTGAAGTTCCCTGACTGAACCTGAACCGCAAAAGCAGAATATATGAAATATAATCTATTTTTTCGTATGCCTGATGTCTTATTTTTTGTTTTATTATGCTTGTTGTTTTTTTACTATTATTTTATCTTACATATTATCTATTTCATATTCCATAGTATGTAGCACAAGATAAATAGTGTACTATTGGTATGTTATATATATTTCATATTCTATATTCTATATATACATATATTATAATCCCAAGGCCTGTCAGCAAAGCCCCAAAACCTGAAGGGGCTCTTCGGTTGGGCGTTTCAGGTTGGAGGCTTGGTGGGTTTGCGCAAAGTGCCCCTTGGCGGCTTTGAAAGTGCTTGGCTTCCAGAACTCCACAAGCGTGGACCCCAAGCCCTAAACATGAACCGTAAACTTGACCCGCTGCAGACCTACTTGACCCGCTGCAGATCTGGGGCTCGGAGACCTTAGGGTTTCGAGGGCTTGGAGGGTTCAAAGTGTCAGTTTCGGGTCAGAAGGGCCCAGACACATGTAGGGGCCCCTTGCTGCGCTAAGTGAGGTTAAGGGAGTTATAACTTCAATAATAAGACTTCTAACGCGCTTTAGGGCCCTTATTATCGTACTTCGGTTGAGGGTTTTTGTGTCGGGTTTCGCGTTTCGGGCTTCGATTTCGGGCATAAGATTAGTCAGCGCGATCTTCGCGTTTTGAGACCTTTTACACACATGTCCAAACACATCGGAAAAAACATGGTTTCCAACACCTCACACACTCCAAAGCACCAGGCACGCAACCGTAGTAGTAGTAGTAGTAATAATGGTAGTAGTAGTAGTAGTAGTAGTAGTAGTAGTAGTAGTAATAGTAGTAGTAGTAGTAGTAGTAGTAGTAGTAGTAGTAGTAGTAGTAGTAGTAGGTAGTAGTAGGTAGTAGTAGGTAGTAGTAGGTAGTAGTAGGTAGTAGTAGGTAGTAGTAGGTAGTAGTAGGTAGTAGTAGGTAGTAGTAGTAGTAGTAGTAGTAGTACTAGTAGTAGTAGTAGTTAGTAATAGTAGTAGTAGTAGTAATAATAGTAGTAGTAGTAGTAGGAGTAGGTAGTAGTAGGTAGTAGGTAGTAGGTAGTAGGTAGTAGGTAGTAGGTAGTAGGTAGTAGGTAGTAGGTAGTAGGTAGTAGGTAGTAGGTAGTAGGTAGTAGGTAGTAGGTAGTAGGTAGTGGGTAGTGGGTAGTGGGTAGTGGGTAGTGGGTAGTAGGTAGTAGGTAGTAGGTAGTAGGTAGTAGGTAGTAGTAGTAGTAGTAGTATTAGTAGTAGTAGTAGTAGTAGTAGTAGTAGTAGTAGTAGTAGTAGTAGTAGTAGTAGTAGTAGTAGTAATAGGAGTAGTAATAGTAGTAGTAGTAGTAGTAGTAGTAGTAGTAGTAGTAGTAGTAGTAGTAGTAGTAGTAATAGTAGTAGTAGTAGTAGTGTAGAAGTAGTAGAAGTAGTAGAAGTAGTAGAAGTAGTAGTAGTAGTAGTAGTAGTAGTAGTAGTAGTAGTAGTAGTAGTAGTAGTAGCAGGAGTAGTAGTAGTAGTAGTAGTAGTAGTAGTAGTAGTAGTAGTAGTAGTTGTTGTTGTTGTTGTTGTTGTTGTGAAGGTTGCATTTTGCAGCAAGCATCACTGTAGCATGTGATGCAGTGACGTAGCAATTGCATGTCGTTTGCTCTTGCTTTTGCGCAGCTTCACGTCAACCCGACTGCAGCTGTGGACACTCAATTCTCAGGTCGTAGCTCAAAGCAGTTGTAGCTGAGCTATTAGCCGAAGGCAACACACCCGCCATAGTGCCTGTTAACGTACTGCAGCTGCGCAGCAGGTTTTGCGAGCTCTTGAGTACGATCCGAACGGGATCGACTGCACTGTGATCCGGGACTTGCGCGAGAAGCAAGGAAACAATCGGCAGACCGAGTGACTGCGCTAAGCCAAGTAGCTTGCTTTGGGCGTTTCGCCCGGGGTCCGCATAGCATGGAGCGCTTGATTGATCCAGACGAAATGGAGGATGATCTTCCCGAGGAAGACACTTGGGATCAAAGACTTAAGGGTTCGTCCAAGGAGCTTGAATTCAGGCGGCTCACGGGGTATGAACGCCCCTTTCTCCTGCAAGGGCTGTTCAGCAGGGCAGGTGATTGTTCCGAGCGCTCGCGAGCAATCAAGAAGAATTGGGCCGAAGCCGAAGACGATGCTCCGGGAGACAAGGTAATCCCACCTCCATTCGATGCTGATCGCAATGCTCAACGATTGCTCAAGGATCAGGAGAGCGATGCTGAGACTTGGGAGTTGTTGAACTACTTGAGGTACAAGGCTGGAGAGAAGCGAGCTGAGAAGATTGGAGCCAAAGATGAACTCCGGCTGAGATCGGCCGCGGCGAAGCATTCCTTGATCGACCTTGGACCTTGGCCTTCTTTGCCGTCGGATCCATCTTCCTTTGGCAGTGGCGGAAGTGCCCGTCCTTCCTTCGGTGGGGGGGTGGAGGCAGTGGGCGTTTTCTCGATTTCACGATTCGCCACTGTCCGGGCACCTCAACGCCGCCAAAACCTTCGATAAGCTCCGCCGGTGCTTCATTTGGGACCGCATGCTTTCAGACTGCGAGTTCTGGACCCAGTCTTGTCCCCGATGTGCGTCGCATCGTCGTTCAGGCACGCCGCTCCCTGCTGACCCTAAGCTGAAACAGCACACGCTGGGACCGTGGATGGATGTCTACGTGGATTTCGTAGGTCCTTACGTTGAGAGCGTGGATGGCTACAAGTATGCGTGCACCTACACCTGCAAGTTGCTCCGCGTCGCGATCATCGAGCCTGCGCGGTCGTTGAAACGTGGCGATGCGACGCAGGGGGTTTTGACTTGTATGCTGCGCTCCGGAATTCTCCAACACCTTGTTTGAGGAGATGTCGGTGTTGCTGGGTATTCAAGAACGCACTCCTCCGGCTCATAGGCCGATGTCTGTGGGTATGGGTGAGACGGTGCATCGTTCTACGAACGTGCTGGTGAGCTTGATGCTCGATGATGTTCACAAGACATGCACCAGGGAGTGATCTCGGGTTTTGCCCCTTGTCCACTATATGATGATGTGTACCCCGATCCTTGAGTCAGGCCTTGTCCCCAGGGATCTGGACCGTGCTTGGTCGCTGCATGATCACACAGAGCGGGAGCTGACTCCGTTTTAAGCTCCTTGCCGTCTCCCAGTACGAGTGGGCGCAGGAAGTCTTCAAGAAGTTTAAGGCCCTGGAAACATCCTTTGCGCGATACTTGGCGATGACTGAGGAGAAAAGGGCCGAATTGTATGATCGTGGCCATGTACGACGTGATTGGGTGGTTGGAGAACAAGTGTGGAGACACCCCACCATGCGACTTGGTGGCAAGTTCCAGCCTCGCAGTGTGGGCCCATACGAACTTCGTGCAGTTCAAGGGCAGCGAGCTACACTGCGTGGTGAGGATGGGACTCTAATTTCCAACATCCCCTTGGCCGAGTTGGTGCGCGTTCCAGCTCGTGTTTTCGTTGACGACACCGACCTTGAGAGGCGATCCGTCGGTCAGATCGTGGGAGGGCAGAGTCCTGCTCCCTTGCCTGGGCCTAATAAAGGCAAGTTTGGTTCCATGATTGCTGGAGCCCTGGTGCTCTACCGACCCGGCGTTCCGTGTATTTAGTGGTCAAAACAAGAAAGCTAGAATGGTTATTGACTGCCGTCGAGTGAACCAGGGCACTGTGAGAGCGACTTTTGTGACGCCGGTCCGTGAAACGAGCCTCGGCGGGCAAGCGGTGGTATTCTACAGGTGATGGGGTTTCAGGGTTTAACCAGATTGAGAATTCCCTGTTTGCGCAAAAGGTGTTAGCTGTAGTGAGCTTGAGTGGAAAGCACCTCCCTCGATCCCTGGGATTCGGACCCACCAATGGCCCCGAGGACTTTTCTCGTTTCGGCTTCAGGACGTTTCGTCGCAAGCTGTTTCGCACTTGGTTCCTCTTTATCGATGATGTGCAGGTAGCTACTGGAACCGGGGATTTCCCGAGTGAAGTGTCGGAGGATGAATTGAGCCGAGCCTTAAAGGCCGTGAGTGACCGTGGACATTCCACGGAGCCCGAACAACCCGATCCTGCGCCAGCTGTGCCTGAGGTGGTTTCAAAGCGCATAACCGGCTCTACGGCCGTGGCGCAGGGCTCCGTTGTCCAGGACAGTGTTTGCACGTATGTAGAGTGTAGTGAGCAGTGCATGAGTTGTTTTGAGCTCCAGCCCACATGTTTGCACTCTGGTTGCAGCCTGTCACACAACAAGCATGTCACTCATGAGGAAGGCTTTGGAGGTGGCTCCAGTGTAGCATTAAGCTGTGGCGCAGCGACGCGGGTTGCGCCATGGAGCCTCACGAGCTGGCCGAAGCCGCCGCGCTGGGCGCGCGTG